AAACCTGTTTGTACAAGCTTTTGTTCATACAATTCCGCCCACCATCCACTACAAATGTTTGCCCTCAGACCACTGCCGACGGAACACCGTACACACTCAGGAATAATGGAATGGACCTAAATGTGGAAGTATTTTACCTAATAACTAGGACTCTTGGCGGAAAAGTCACAGATAAATAACAATAGCAAAAACTCATTATAATTTATAAATATTAGTCGAGTGCGGATTCAGAATTGTTGCTAGGTAAGTGCCGTTGAGGAAAACGTCGTCGACAATATCAGCCGAATTAGTGACGTCACCGAGGTTAGGTGGGAAAGATCAGAATTTTAACGTTGATTTCGAGGTGGGTGAGACTATATAGGACTTGTCAATTTTGTAAGACAAAATGTTTACCTCAAAAAACACCTGGTTTCTGGTCATGGTGGAGAGGCTAAAAAGCTGAATTCACATTACAACAGAGAACATACCATCCTGCATTCTCATGATACTGGTTTACATTAAAAATAACTGGTATTATTAATTTGGTGAGGATTCTTTTCGACATCTTTACATTCAATTCTTACCAGTTTTAGCAGCAAGCTTAATTTTTGCATTTCAGTTACTTCTATCAACGAAGAAGATGGTACAAAGGCAAATGGATTAATTGGGCACAACCGTTCATTTACCTACTTGACATGATTCTGCATTTCTTGAGTCTGAATAGGTATGTTTGCAAAGTATTTATGGATGAAAACCAAAAGAATCAGGGTGAGTCAACTCTTTCCGGACAAGATTCTAATCCTATGTTTTCGCTGACGGTTCCCGACAAACAGTTATGTGCATATACCTGTAACGTTTTACCTTTTATGTTCATCAGTTATTTAGTAATATTGCTTACTTCAGTCAATAACATCAGAGGATTTCTGTGGAGCTGGTTCCAAGGTTATAGAGATAAACTATTGCTTTACCACTTCAAAGAACGCTTTCTCTTGTTCGCAAATGATTCCCGCAACCGAAAATTTAACTAGCATCGGATTGTGTTGGTCATTAATACTCATTAGCCACGAGTTAATGGTTCATATATCTGGTCATTAGATTGATTGATTTTAGAATTTTGGTAAAATTTGATGAAAGATCTCAGTTCGAGTTTGAGAAATAGTAAGTGGCAGAGGTTGGTAGCCTCCTGCAAATCAGTTGGCTCAATTTCAGTAGCAACTTAACGTTGCCGAGGAAAGCCTTCAGGGGCACTCTGAACTAGAGGCAACGTTTTTACTAAGCAGTGGTCTATTTTTTTTAATTTTAGATTTGCTATTCTTGATTAAGTAACCTTACAACAGCGAATAAAAGTGTTACATGCTAATGCTCTCTTGTACAAGTGTCTTTAGATTTAAATTTGTGGATAATACAGAATTTGGCAATGGATGTATATGGTAATTCATCGAACTGGTCAGCTTCAGGAATTGCAGTCAAACTTTCCACGTGCTAATTCCCATGAATTTCTGGTCACCACCTAATATTTGTTAACCACGTCTCCAAAATAAATTCCTGCGTTAATATGGAATTTATTAACTGACATTTTATTTATAAATAAACTACTAACAAAGCTAATTACGTAGATCAGTTAGTTGAACTATCCCGACAACCGCTTATATGACAATGCAACCTGAGTGGCTAGAGCCATGTAAAGTACGTTCTGTGTGAATGTAAAGTGCCTAAGCGATAATTTATTGTGATGCAAATAGCTTCGACGACAAATCGTGAGATTCAAGGTGACCGCTGGCGACTAATTTGAGATCCTATTTGTGGTTCGTATTGATTTCTACGGTCTTTTTAAATCCTCTTTGAGAAATTAAAATGAACTAATCACAAAGAGGTCACAAATTCGTAAAACCATCTTTGATACCAAAAGTCCTATGATCAAATAAGGACACTTAATTTATTTATATATTTAATTAACTCGCATTCTGTGCAAAAGAGTAATCACGCAAATAAAAGACTAAAAGCACTAAAGAAATCAGGCACTGAATCGACGGAGCTACTTCGTTCCTTCCACAATTGCTAGCAGCATGCGCTTGTAGTCGCCAGAAGTCTCGCTTTGGATAGCACTTGTTAGAAGTTTATTTGTTTGCCTTTGAAATGCCTCCTTTATGTCTTCCAAATCAATCTAGAAAAGAAAAATATAGTATATGGAAACTGTTGACCTGGGTTATTTAATTTGCCTGTTAGATGTTTGCAGTCAGTTTTAAAAAAAATATTCAAAGTTTTATAGGTGTACTTCGTACCAGCCCGCAAATCAGTCTAGTTTTTTTGCTTGGTTTTAAAAGTTGACTTGATACAAGATAAGAAATTATCAGCGCTTGAAGGTTCAAATAATTGTGATACGAAATTCTAATCAGCACATTTGATGGCATCGTGGAAACGAGGCCTGGTCCAATACTTTCTTCATGCTATTTGTAAAATAATTTATTTACGCAAACAATGACCGCATTTCCTCTGAAATTTGTTGTTAGTAAAATCAACCAGACATATGTTTACCCTTAGTTGACATTTGAAATGACCTAGAAGTTCTGCGTTACTTCAAAGTATTATTTTGCAGCAGAATTGATGTGCTAAAAAGGCTCCTTCATAAAAAGCAACTATAAAACTGCATTGAATTATTTAAACAAAGTATTTTCCATCATTGAAGTGTTAAAACAAAAATGCAGATTTAAAGCGGTGGTCTCTGATTTCGACCAGAGAAATGCTAGTTGGTTTTGTCTTCATTCAACTATCAAAAGTTTATCTTCAATTCATCTGGTCGTCATCCCATCTTAAGAATATCCGCACCATTCAGCGAATGCCGACATACTCGCAATTCCCTTCTCCTTGGATTTAATCAAATATCACCCTGCTTTCCTGCCTCCGATACACAATTTTCGTGATTGCTGCCGTCTCCATTAACAACAGCATCACATAGCAAATATTGCACACTTTCTGTATACCCATATTTTTTGCTCCTGAAACACCAAAATGTGGTGGCCTATCTTCCATTTTCAAGGTAGAAAACCAAAGCATTCGTTCAGTAGAGGCGGTTGTCCGATGTACGAGTAACGTGTCGTGGTGTCGGGATCCCTTCATTTGCTGGTCCTCTGTCGATTTCATTCTGGGCAACCCGGCATCAGTCGTATGATGTCCATCGCCAGCAGCTGTCTAATTACCGCAAATGAACCACCAAATCGTAGACCTTGTCAATGGCTGCTCGCAATGTCAGTAGGCAGCCAAGCATGCATCTAAATTTTCTCCACTTTCTTGACCACTGCCAAAAAAGCCCTGTTTTTGGTTCCATACAAATTTTGCATGACCGATCAACAGGGTTTCGTACTTAGTGTTGGTGGAAGCATACAAAAGTGGCCAAAGACCGATCCCATGAATTTTCCACCACAACGAGGTCATTACATACATTATCACAAATATTGAAACAACACAGAATTTCAAAAACTTTCATTTCCGACCTCGGCTTTCAATGCTTTTCCAGCAATCCCAAGAGTTTTGCAGCACCAGGAATCAAACGGAAAGCCAAACTCTTCGTCGACACTTTGAAGTGGGAAGGGATGACACGAGTCGACAGCATACAGAATGTCTTCTTGGTATATTATTAAACATCGCATGAGGCTCTTCTGAAGCGTCGATCCCCCTCCGAGGCACTCATAGGTCGCAAATTGCGGACAAAAAACGCTACCTTGTCCCCAGTACAGTGCAAGTGTCTGAAGAAACTACGCATGGAATCTGTTTCACCATTTAAAATTGGGGCAGCCATGTACGTTTCGGACTTCCGACTGGGACATAATCCATGGATCGAGGGAACGACTGCAAGCCAAGACTGCAAGGTCGTGTTCGACGCGGCACATTTTCAAGGCATCGGAATCATCGCCAACAGAGGAAAGGTTTGACTTCAGCGAATCAGCAGACAAGCATTCCATAAGTTATGATTTTCTATACCTTAAGGCTGCCAACACCGACGGTAGCACCACAAGAACGACTAAACGGAGTCGTGGAATGGCAGTCACCTCCAAGAAGACACTGACAACACTGCTCCAGGTCGACACAAAGAAGCAGTGCTATTAACTTCAAGTGAGAGAATAGTTGGAGAATCAGCATCCCAAAGATTCCAAGATTTTGACAATTTTCTATTTTTCAATTATGTTTATGAATACATTTTTTGTATTTGTACCGGTCATCCTCCTACTATCAGCTTATTCATCTTTGAGTGCATTATTACTCTTACGTGGATTCAAGGCAACCCCTGCATTTATAAGTGGGCGCATCTGAGATTGCACTCGGCCTTCAGCTGTGACAGTAAAAAGCTCTCTGTGTCCCAGGTTTTGGAGAGGGTGACTCATCTGTGTTTTGTCTGTGTCGGCGTGGAGGAAGCCGCTGGCGCGCTAAACGAGCGGCCTGATTACCGGCGCTTTGGCCTTAGCATCTGCCCACCGGTAAATCGTAAGATTTACTTCAAATTCACCTGTTGATTTCGATGCAAATCCCTCACCTCTTGTGGACTGGAGTAACCAAAAAGCAATGTGTTTGGCTTAAAACATTTTTCCAGATTTTGGATTTAACCGTGCTGAAGTTGCCGTACAGAGCAAATTAATGCAGGTAAATCTGAATCAAATATGTGATGAGCCGTCCAGGAAAAATCCATTCAGAGCTAATCTGAAACTGAATAAATTAGTGCAAATTTTCAAAGCATCTTATACTTTTATGTGTCACTTCGAGAAACGCATTTCGAAACCTTATGGTCGAACAAGATCTGGAGAGCAATAAGTAAAATTCTTGTGGCCCACTGCAGCGGTTTTAGCCAAAATAGTTCGGTTTTTTTTAATGAATTTCAGAAGCACTTTGGACTGATGGCGAAAGCACATTAAGGATGATGTCACACATTTCGTGCAGTGTTACCTGATGAACATTGCCATATTAAAGACCAAAACTTAAACACGAAGGCTGGTCACTTTCACCACATTGCCCTTCTGATGCAAAGAATATCAGATTGAAAGAAAATTTATCTGAGAGAGAGAGGTTACCTCAGCTCTTGCCAAGACCAGGCGAATGAGGTCGTCATCCCGTGTCCCCAATCCGGCCATTGATTCCTGCAGCCACTTCGCAAAAAGCGCATGCCGATCTTCCGCAAAAGCAACTGTAAGCGAAGAAAACTAGAGCCATTTTTCATATAAAAATAGCGCCGTTGATTTGAGAATTCACAGAAAGTTGCATAAATGGTACTGGTACCAAATAAAAACTGAAATTAATCACATTGAAAAGTATTCCAAAATCTTTACTTAATAAAAAAGGGGTTTTTCTTTTTATTCTCGCTTTTTTTAATAGTAAACTGTTTAGTATGAGGAAACCAACGGCCTGTAAGTAAAACAACCCGGTGTCTTAGCTAGTAAAATTTATTTTTACTTCCTAATATAAGTTAAATGCGAATACTTGACATGCCCAAAAGCGAAGTATGCTTATCGTTTAAGTAGGACTTATGTGTATACTATTGCCTTTAATAATAATTTCACATATTAAAATAACTTAAAACATATCTTCTTATTTACCAATTACTTCAATCACTTCACCTGTCCTTAGTGCAGACCAATTGTGAAAGCACGGCAGATAGCTACAACTGAACCTACTTTTCTTAGCAGTTTAAGTGCGCTTCCTAAATTTGGTAAACAAATCTTTTTCTGAAATTTAATTACCGCCGCCATACCCTATTGTCCATAAACAGTTTAAAATAACAAGTAAAATACCTCTGTATGCCTCTTTCCTACCAATGATGGATACTTAAATTTGGACTGAACTCTCCGCTATGTGCCCTTAAAACAATACCACCTGATTTAATGTGTTGTCTATTGAGGTAGAATGACGATTAATTCAAACACCACACAAATACCAGGTACATAGATTTGATGCTGCCTTGAGTGCACACTGCTAACATAAGAGAAGTCTGCTGAGTTCGTTTGGTTGAGCATTAGCTTTGACAGAAAGACTAGAATTATTAAAACAAATCTCACAATATTAATAAAACGTACCAATAGACAACAAAGTATCGCGGTAACTGCCTGAAGTTTCACTCTTGATTGCATCAATAAGTGTTTTCTTGTATCTCTAGAATAAAGTTCCGAGAACTACATAACTACGATCCACAGCTATGGCACTGGCAACTAGTTTTGTGACATACAGTAGCGTAGACCTTGGCAATTTCCTTGATATGTGGGAAGCTTCTTTGTGAAAAAATTTGCGTAAATTTAGCTTCCTCCGTTCCACGGCGACTAAAAAAGATGTGGCTGCGTCATTAACCATGCATGTGTTTGTGGCTGTGGCTTATGGCATTAGAAATCAATAACAGGTAAAGTACAAACGCAAGTGGCAATTTTAGCGCATACACTAACCCCAAATAAGAATTTACTAGTAGTATTTGTGGTAACGAAAGGCTTTCCAACTGCTTAATTAGTCCTGATTTATAGTAGTGTCATCAATGTGGTTCACTTCGTTGGTTCAAATTTTTCAAGGTTTCATTTATAACAAAAAAAAAAATAAAAGCACCACAGCCATACATTAAATGAAAGGCCCGTAGTCTTGCATTTGCAAGTCTTCATGTTTTTGGTGAACCCTGAATACAAGAAACCATTATGACATACTTATTAAAAACAAAAGGAGTATTAGTGCATGAAAGGTACCACATGCAAGTTGTTCAAAGATTTGCCTGTCCTGCTGATATATCAACATTTAATCTGACAAAATAGTCTGAATTTTGTGTCTAAGCAAGGATTTGCAGAAGGCTAAAGTTTAAAACTTGACGCTAAAGGCCGTTTAAATTAAAACTTGCTGTGAACTCACCCCTCGCCACACTGGTACAGAGCATCGCAATCCATTTCGGCCTGCTGCGAGTTAAATTGTGGATTTTCATCTCTCTGAGCCTGCAGCATTGCAACCAAAATTCTTTGGAAATCCCCGCTGGTTTCGCTAACAATATCCTTTTCCAAATCACGTTCTATAACTTAATTGCCAAAGATTAACTGCTTCATACGTGTTGTATCATACACTTTATTGTATTAAAAAACAAAAAAATAATGCTCATCATTTTCTCGGCTGTCCGCGAATTTAAATGTTTATAATTTTCTTTCCTTTAATTGCAGCACAGTTTTCTACATGGACACAACCGACAAGGAAACATGTAATGTAGGCATTCATCATCAATCGATCCATTTTTCACTGCTTGTTATATCAGGGAAAAACGCCTTCAAAACACTACCATAAGGCTTGGACGGTCACAGAGTCTGCTGATTTATACTGTGGAAAAATGCATGAGCAAGGATTTTGCATTTTTAATGGATAACATATTTCTGGGCTTAAAAGGGAGCACAAATCTTAATTTAACTAGGTCCAAATGGCGAGTTTCCCTCAAATCGGCATTTCTATTTAACTTAGTGGCACTTGTCAGAATCGAAATTATTGGCTACAAGAAAGGTACCAGTTTGATAGGCACGTTTGATATCCAGAATCTCCGCATTCGAGGCTGTTGAGATCACTTGAATAAGAACCCGCTCGGTTGTGCCAGGGAACTTCATGGCTTTGCGGAGGGCATGCGCGTTCATCTCCGGAACCTCTCGTAATGAGGCAAGAACGATGTCCTCAAAATTACCCGTCAGTTCACTCTTTAGGTCTTTCTCAAGGTACTGCATGGAATTAAAAGGATTCATCAAAAGAATGAGGTCCATGTAGCAGTTTATTAGTGGCGAAGTGTCAAATGTCCATCTACAGTCTCTTGTAATTATATGCGCGGGCTTTAAGGTTGCTAAAATTTCAGCAATTTTGGATAACTAGTTACAGTTTTAGCCGATTCTCCTAATTTTGGATATGAGGACATTTAGGCTGGATAAATCCTGGATCTTGGTAACCACTAATATCCCTTTGACTATCTCAACCCATAATGAGCAAAACAGCCAAATGGTAATAAAAGAAAATATGCACCGCACAAAACATTATTTCGTCCTGAACAATCAATAAAAAACACCACTGAATCGAAGATGCTTCGAGTTATGTACAGACAGTAGTTTTTAACAATAGCAAGTAGATTTAAATGAAAGTTTGTAGCAGACCTATCCTAACGACTGTGTAAACAGGTGTTGGTATAAGACCATGGTGAGGCATATCAAGTAATAAAAGTCAAACGAACGACGATAGCTAGAAGGAGAGGGAATTGGCAAGTTTGCATAGTTAAGGAGGAAGTTGCGATTAAATAAAAGGTCAGACTCGTAGAAAAGATCAGACAGGGGAGCAATACCTGATAACGATGGCGTGGTACCGGAAATTAGTGTTGACGACCGACACACCGGTAAATTGAAGTCCAAGGTGGTGACACTGCAATGACTGATATTAATACTAACGATTATCAACTCATACACTAAAAGCGACAGTGTCATCGTCGCCTGAGTGGATCGTGGGTTGCTTGATGGTTGCAAGCTCATGATTATATAGAATGCATTTGATAAAAGAGACAGTTGACAAACGCTCCAACGGAAATGCCAGCATTGGTAATGAAGTGTTTACCATTCCTAGAGGCTCTAGTGCTTCATTGCTAGGCTATGCCACAGATTTCAGGGCTGTAGAACGTAACTACGGTTAGTTAAACTACATATTGTTGCAGAGTACCAGAGACGCTAAATTGGGACGCAATGAATTATAGCTGTCAGTTCTCTGGGTCAGAGCAGAGAAATTTTTAATCACTGAAAAACTCCGAAAGTACCCTTGAAATTAGGTATTTTCGAGCGTTATGCGTCGAAATTGTACAAAAAACCAATCAGTCTCAGATTTCAAAAGTAATGTTACCGTAAAACTCTCCAATAGTGTATCATTTTATTTCATGTCCAGTTGTTTGACCATCAGGAAGGTTGCTGGCAGAATGGGTAAACTACGCTTAGCATGCATAGACTGTGTCTTTCCTGCACTAGACTATGAACTCACCTTGCCAAACAACGCTAGGTATCGGCTTGCAATGGTCTTACGCTGAACGGCGGACCTATTCACAAGAATGTTTATTATTTTAGCCTCATCTGTTCCTGTAAAATAAAATATTTAAAATAAGTCACCACGATAGAATAAAAACCCCAAACTCGTAAATTTTCGAGCAACGATGTCTTTAGCATTTCAAGTTTGCACATTATGAACATTACATTAAATTTCGATATTATGAATGCATGGTGACTCGCGTCAAATTCCGAACGAAATATATAATGCACGATCAATTATTAATAACGCTTCGTTTAACTACTTAAGGATTTACATTACAATTTGAGAAGCGTTTGTTCAGCTTTGATTCCAATTGGTTTAATATGAAACGGTCAATTTACTGTGAACGATGAGAAGGACCAAGCAGCATCCAGTAAATTAGTTCTATTCCGCAGGCGTGACAGGTTAGCATTAGCTGAGACGTCGAGCTATCATAGAACCTTCTAGTGGCACTGCGAAAGACAGGTTTTAATCGACCCATGTACGGTTTAGTTTAAAGCGGTTACTGCACCATTTACTCGATTTATGTCTTCACACTTCTCGCCAATGCTTTGCCTAAGACTACTCTCATAATCTCAAAAAATACAGTTTTACTAATGTTTCAATGTTACATGATATGATATTTACCTAATCCTCTCATAGCCTGTCGTAAACGTTCTGCGTCTTTATCCGGTTGGAAGGGAGAAACTGGCCTAATTGTCGGACGTCCAGCCATGATATCTGAAACGAAGTAAAACTTTAAAGTCTAACGCTTTTTTCGGATGCAATATAATGGTGATTGCCGATGGGCACTAGTAAGCAAATCTATTCAGTTTTAACTGAAGGGTTTGTAGTGGTTGGAAGTAATTAAATAATATTATCGTGTCAATTAAGTGGCTTTCACATTCACTATTAAAAAAGTACAGTAGCAAGAGCTAGATTAGAGGTATTTGGAATATGTTGTATAGGCAGCCCATTCCAGCAAGACGCACAGTGGACGACAACATTAATCAGGCATATCTAACCATTTGATTATGCTGTAGTCCAGCTCTTATTTGTACTCCAGAAAACAGCTGTTTCAAGAAAAGTAAGGACGGACTTCATTTTGATAAGATAATACATGTTCTAGGAAAACTAGTAGTTTAATTAAAGTCCTAATTCTAAGACAAATGTTAATATTAATCCTATTAAGATGCGGTTAAAGTCGCACAGTGATCCCATGACTTTGGCAAATTCAGTATGAAAATAGGTTCTTTTCTGAAGTGCAAATACAATTTAACGGGTTCAAAGTCCATTCAATTTGTGCTAATCAAAGAATCCATAAGTCCAAAGTTCCAAAGTTAATTTGTCATATTCTCGAATCTGAAACATTATTTCCCACAATAATCTTTACATTTGACGTTGGCTGAAAATGTAACAAAGTCGCAGTATCACATTAGAGGCGCACGTTTGTAAGGAATACTAACAATACCAATGATTGGGCTTGGAGAATTAAGACAATTATGCATAGACATTCCTACTCATAAAGCTTAAACTGTTTTAAAATTGATCGTCTATAGCATCACGGTCCCAAACTGCTGCTGCCCTTTGTTACAAATAGACTAGACTTCTGCAATCAGACCACATTCACAGTTAACTACGACCTGAGTTGGCGAATTTGTCTCTCGCAATTTCAAAACCACTTTGAAATGCTTTTGTCACCTTTTCTAAGCATAAAACGCCAAATCGTGCACCAGTGTATCTCCTTAAATATAGCTAAAATTCCTTTACGATCTAAAATGAGTGTAGTGCTGTAGACTACCCAGGCCACATAGATAAAGACATTGCTTTCAGTTAGTTCAATAACTATAATCCTGAGGCCTTGATTTGGCTCTTTCTTGGCCCGTTTGTAGCCAAATCATAGGACCTCCTACTAGTTTAACTAAAATTTGGACATGTATGCAGACTTGAAAAAACGCTTCATGTTAGTGGCTAACTTTCTTAAAATTTACAATTGCTTTGAAGATCTTGTGGTGTTTTAGTAAAATGACAAAGAACGATGCGTCGACAAATAAAACGAACTTGTTTAACATAATCTGAAAAAATAAAACTTAACAGCCTACCAGGCAGCACTGGTTCGTAATAACAAGTGATGTTTAAACCATACGGCAATGTAGCTTGCACAGCTGGAAAAATTCTAATCTGATTGGATGAACGATCAACGAATCAATGATGTTAACCGGTCACGGCATCTGTTGTGGGTTCTAATACTCCTTTCCAAAGCGCTTTTGATTTAAAGTTCTAACCGCTCGACTGCTCGATACACTAATAAAATTCTTATATAACCAGTTGACACATTAGACATTGTCAACCCCAAAAGTTGCTTAGTGATTAATCCAGTATTTAAAGGCAGTATCAAAACCATGTGTTAGATATTGTATCAAAATGCATTACAAGTGTAGTTTGGTTACAAGAAGATCGATCACATACGTTAGCCTTGATTTAATACGCTATTCAACCGAAGGCAACTAGAAATGTCCCCATTTTTCATGCGGCAGAGTTATCATTAGTTATTTTCTGGAAATTTGTTGCAGAATTTTCCCAGAGGGCATCTACACACTTTTGGATCGCATTGCGACAAAAGCTATTTTTGATTCAATCACCTTGAACCATACAGTGGATGTTGGCGGCTTTAGTTTGTTCCTTCACACAGCTGTGTACCCAAGACCCAAAGTAGTGCTGAAAAATTTAAAGAGGAAAAGAAGTTTATTGCGGTGCAAGTTGAAATGATATTTAACCAGGAACGGGATGTAACTATGAACCACAGAGGGAACCAATGTTAATGTACTAGTCAATAATGAACTGTTGTAAAATTTATAACTTAATGATGCCAACTGCAATGCCACACGTGACGAACATGGCATTCGGCAGTGACACATGGCGAAATAGCGGGCAAGCAATCAAAACTAGAAAACTAAAAGCTCCCTGCTTGTCTCTAACTGGCTGTTTGCTTGTTCTCTTTTATATCCACATTCCGGAATCCAATCCACAGCGAACGAACAATATGCGCCGCAGTGGATTCGCTTACCGAATTAAGCGAAATTGGTTAAATGGCACTTTTGGCCTTTTGCAATAAAAACGAAAACTGATCCGCCTGGACAACCTGCATCAGCCACCTCGCAATCAATATCAGCAGCTCACGCGTCTTACCTGTACTGTAATAAATGTTCGAATCTGCCGTCGTCCGACTAATTTTTGTTCTTGGGTGGTGCGGACTGTTAGCTAGCAAGGCTGTGGGGTAGTGCAAGCAACACTACAATAGTTTAATATGTTATTGCACTTTTGCCATAGTAACGATGACCTCTGGTTACCATACTTCGTAACGATCGGTAATTTAATCACTTTTGGAAATGCTAGCTATGTCTAAGGTTTTGCATGGGGATGAGTAGAAGGTGTTAGTGTATGTTTTGTAAATTTACAGCTAAAATGTGAGTAAGAGTTGGATATAATCATTTGCTTTACTAACCAATAGCAATTTCATCACCATCTTAACCAATGATTTTGTCGCCTATAGACCTACAAGGACATTCAAAGGAGAACGCGGTAAGAGTAATTTTTTACACGAGAGTACAACCTTATAAATGCTTTAGTCTATAGAATTTTGCTGAAACAGTTAGTTATTAATTGCTTTTGCTAGCCTTGGTTATTCTAAACTCTAACTGATGTCATTAACGGGGCGTTTTGCGGCCAATAAACAACAGTAGACGCCAGTCTTTCAATTACGAACGCCTGGGTCACTGTACGCAGAATGCCTTGCCTGACCAGTGAAGCCTGCTGGCCCACGTAGTAAAAGTGCAGGTGGCGGCATGGCCATATGCGTGATACGAGAAACATGGGGAAATGTGCACCACGGTGGATGATCGGACCTGGCCTCGTGAGTGTGGGGATGCTGTGATGGTGTGCTTGAGGAAACAGGGGCATGAATCAGCACAATTTACTACGCGTACAAAACTGTGTGATCAAAGTGGCGGCTTGTGGCAACAAAACGGCCTTTAAGGTCGTCAACATCGAGCAAATTTAATTTAAGCCAGATCATTTTAGAACTAGCGGTTACCACCGCAAAGTGTACGTTTAGCGCTTTAAAGTGCTAATAATTGGAGAAGTGACATCAACGCTCTGCAATTCTAACTGGCTGACCTCGATAAGTAGGAAAGAATAGTGGAAACGATAATCTAAGTGAGCATGATAGCTGAATCATCGTTTAAAATAATATATTTACTTTGCTGATATAAGTAGCGTGAAGTCGTGCATACTTAAACACCAGTCCGCTGTAATTAGGCTAGCATTTTTTTGGTCACGCTCTTGGCTCAGTGCAACAAAAATCGCAAACCATAAAGACGGTGCCATGACGTGAGCCTATTAATACTCGCCATAACGGGCGGTGCAGTCACTTTCGAAAGCATGCGACGTTGCTATTTTGTTTGCTGTATTCATTAAATTTTCGATTATTAACTATTATTGCACCTGTGTTGGTAGTGGGCTTGATCCAAATATTTATTGTTAAGTTCTCTTACGGTCTTGAAACATTTTATGGCACGATTTCATCCACCAACCACGAAATCCCACATATTTTTAAAAGAAGAAAATGAGAAGAAGTCCATAGGATCTCTTCTTAAAATCAATCTACTTGTTAATTGTGAAAGCGAAGGGCGGTCAAATTTTGAAGTTAGGATGGCCACTAAGACACCTCGGTTGACAAAACTTTGGTTGGGCTTGTTATAAGAAACCCTGTACGCCAAAATATAGATACTTCAGGAAAAGTGTACCGGTTCTAAGCAATTAAGTGCTTAAGGATACTTGGAGTAATATTCTTTGGATTAAATGACGTGTACAGTTAATCACTAGACTGCAGGTTATTAAAGTGCTTCAGTTGTGATTTTGGAAACTAGAAGTGACAGAATCTTGCAATGAACTCCCACGAAAAAGATTAGTAATAATATTTGATGGGAAAGATGTGTGTGTTTTTAACTCTAAGGAGTGCATCATGTTTTCCTTCTTATCGTAGACATGGATAGTTATAGAGAAGCACAGCACAAGCCCTGTCGGTAGTTCAAAGTCTTTTACCACATCATAGAAAGAAAAACTAAGCCACAGACTATCGTGAACACGTAAGCTACCCATTTGTTAGAGATTTTAATTGAGCAATAATAGTGCGTTGTCTTAGAACCTTAATTTCAGTAAACTATTATCTTCTGACCTAGTAAATTAATCAAATGAACCATGAACACGCACACACGTGCAATACCAGTCGCTTTGTTTTATTTGTGTTAAAACTTCAACCGTTATTTATCAAACAAATTGGTGCTATTGGAGTGACCACAAACTTAGTGGGGAAGAGCATTTACCATGTTTACAGCGTTTCATTCGTTTTCTGAATGACTTTTCCTCAACTGGAAATTCGTTCATTAAAGGAATATTTCTGCAAATCCATGAATTGTGTGTTCTGTCTACAGATTGAACCTTGGAGCAAATTTCGTCGTGCAAGTTATGCGACAAATCTAATCGCAGCTAACTTAAATCTCCACAGCTCAACACAACCTGAAAACATTTCCTGTCAAAGATGAGCAGCGTTGTTGTATTTTAGCTCCTGAACCTAAAACTTCTCATGCCTAAATTAGTTTTGTTGAAGTTAACCGAGGCAGTTGTGATGACTATGGCTAATGACAGAAAATAACCGCTCACACTAATGCATTCACA